AATTCTTCTGCTAGTTGGGGTTTAGTCCAAATCTGCATCCTTTCCTTCAAGGCTCAGGGGTCCAGGATTATCTTCTGTGTCTGTATTAATTGGTTTCCCTTTTCTTTGTTGAAGAGGGTCTGTGCAATCCTTCTGCCTAGTCAGCCATCTTGCCCCGCCGCGGCTCAGGCCTCCGGCCCCCTCGTGCCCCCTCAGCAAGCTATAAATCTTTATGGAAGCACACTGCCTCATCTTTTTAGCTCAGAGCAGCTGGTGGGTTCAAACGGCTGATGTTTCAGTTAGTAGCCAAATGCATTAACCACTGTGCCACCAGAAATAAGAAGCAAAACTCACTGCCATCAAGTCGATTCTGACTCATAGCAACCCCCTTTGGGTTTCCAAGGGAGTTTACAGAAGTAAACTTCTTTATGGAAGTAGATTGCCTTTGGGGTGTGTGTGTGTGTGTGTGAGAGAGAGAGAGAGAGAGAGACAGAGAGACAGAGAGTAGCTGATTTGTCTCCATGGAACCAAACAGCCTTTTTGAGGGGCTGGTTTACTAATCACTGATTCTGTGGACTAATTTACTCTTCTGACTTCAGAAAAACAATTATGCTCTCAGTCATTCTTTCATTCATTTTTTAAGTGTTTATTATTTACCAGGAATTTTGTAATACACTGAAGATACAAATATGAATGACACACAATTTCTGATTTCAAGGAGTTTACAATCAATTAAGGGTACAGATAAATGAACAGTTCATTACAACTCATTTTGCACACTTGGAGATTTGTATAAGATCAATAGACATACAAAGATGGGAAGGTAGGCAATCCTGAGAAGATCGGGAAAGAGTCCTCAGGAAAGGCACTTCATGAACTGAAATTTGAATAATGAGCAAGAGTTTTCAAGATGGGCTAAGAGTATGCATAGCTTTTCTTTAAGAACATCTGCCATTGGGCAAGTGAGTGGAAAACTACTTTATTCTGTACATTTTTGGACTTAAAAAAAATTGAGCCTCCTTTAACATCTAACTGTTAAATACAAAATTATTTTCATTCATTTGTTCAGGCCTCCACTTCATGTGGTGTTCAGCTCCCTGTGGAACATATCTGGTCTATGGAAGATACCAAATGATCACATCAGAGTCATGTATATTTAGTGATCATTTCTAGGTTGTGGAGCAGGAAGATGAGAAGAACACAGAAAAACTGCAGATGGAGGCAAAGATACTGCAGATGGAGGCAAAGAAGTGGGGAGAGAAGAGAAAGAAAGGAGAAGTGGGGGAAGGAAGAAGATAGAGAAGAAGGAAGAGAAAGAAGAGAATGAAGAAGATGAAAAGTCCTTTCAGTCTTGGAAACCTCTGCATTTCATACCTAGCTTCCTTGATGAAACTGGGAGTGGAGATTCACGGGGAGCCATCAGCCCAGGGGAGAGGCACAACACCAGACCTTGATCTCAAAGAACCAATGAGCTACACTTTTCCGGATCTGCCTAGTCTTCACACCATAGACAATGGGGTTGAGCATTGGTGGTACCACTACATAAAGATTAGCCAGCAGAATATGGACATGTCGAGGAATGTTATGACCAAAGCGATGGGTCAATAAGGTGAAGAAAGATGGAACGTAAAACATGAGAATAACACAGAAATGGGAGCCACAAGTGCTGAGGGCCTTGTGCCGAGCATCCTGGGATGGTAAATGAAATACCGTTTGGAGGATAAGGGAGTAGGACACAGCAATGAGGATCACATCCAAGATGACCATGACAATGGGCACTGAGAAGCCATACCAGATGTTGACAGTGATGTCAGCACAGGCTAAGCGGGCCACTCCAATATGCTCACAATAGGAATGAGGGACAATGTTGGTGCGGCAGAAGGGCAGCCGCTTCAGCAAGAAGATCACTGGGAAGATGATGCAGAAGCTTCGAGTAACAATGGCCAAAGCAATCCTTCTCACAACAGGCCATGTTAGCACTGCTGTGTATCTCAGGGGGGCACAGATGGCCACAAAGCGGTCAAAGGCCATGGCCAAAAGGATGGCTGACTCCGCCACAAACATCACATGGACAAAAAAGACTTGAGTGACACAGGCATCAAAGACAATGTCATGAGCATGGAGCCAGAAGATGGCTAGGGCCTTGGGCACAGTGGTGGTGGACAACAGGATGTCTGTCACGGCCAGCATGGAGAGGAAGAAGTACATGGGCTCATGAAGGCTGCGTTCTGTGATGATGATCACCATCAGGAAGCTGTTTCCCAGGACTGCAGTGATGTACATGAGGCAGAGGGGGATAGACAGCCATATGTGATAAGCTTCCAGCCCAGGAATACCAAGTAGGACAAAAACTGCAGGGTGGAAGATGGTAAGATTGGTATGAGTCATGATGCAGCTTAGAGTCCTCTCTGTAATGACTGAGGGGTTGATGACTCTGCTGAAAGGGATAGGAATAGAAAACATCACTGGAGAAGTGCAAATGATAGCATGGATTTCTGATTCTCCAGTGGAAATTTCCCCCAGAAAATACTGACTTCTGGCTCACAGCATCTCACTTGCTTGCAGAACTACTGTCTCAATCATGCTTCAAGAGCAAACAGGATTTACCCTACTTCTAATCCTCTTGCCCCAAGAGTCTGACCTCACCCTACCTTTCTGACTTCATTCTACCGTTTCTACAAAGCAGCATTTGTCCCCTACATTTGTTATGTTTGTTCCATTCACTCCTTCTGCGTTACATAAAATTTCCTCCCTTCCACTTCTGCTTATCCAAAGTTTATCCTGAAATACCTCTTTAAGACTTAAGATACTACTTTGTAAAGGCCCATGTTCATAATAACATCTCCTTCCTGAATACCTATCAACTACACTATATTTTAACTTGATTATATTTAATCATATTAATTTTAGCGAGCTATTACCTTGAATATTTCACAGGAGACTTGCCTAACATCTTGGAAGTTGGGACTCCCTGTACAAGAAAACAGGTTACCAAATGGAAATTCAGAGAGAGCCTGAAGGATATATTTCTCTACTCTGACCCAGATTCAAATCTTCCCTCAAAGTAATGAGTGGGGTAGAAGTTGAGATTGAAAAGGCCTTATTCATTGCCTGTTCCTCATATATTCTCATGTATGAGGACTATTTTGGGGTGAAATAGTCCGTACAGGTAGCTCATGCTCATGTCTATATCTCCTTATCCATAGAAGACCCCAGGGAAACTGTTCTAAGTAAGTACAATAATCAATACATTATCCCCAGCTCCATTAATACAGCCCTCCTTCCTGTACCACTTCTCTAAGCCTCAGGAGGGGGATCCTTGGTTCCTTGTTGCTGAGAAGGAGTAAGTGTGGAGCACTTATTATCTTAGCTCTTCCCACTCCTAAGATAATACCTGTTCTTTCTGAAGCTCTGGACTATCTATCAGCTATTAGGGCTGAGGAAACGATTGACTAAGAACTGGAAGAGAACATGGAGAAAAGAGACTATTGAAAGAGTGTGAAAAAAGAGAAAATCAAGATTAAAAGGTAACAAATGAGTACTGGAAGTATCTACTGATAACGATGTCCAGAAGGCCCCAGAAAGAAGGTCATGCAAAGAAATAAAAACCCCAATTGATGACTCCATGCCCTTGACTCTAAGCAGATGTACTTGCTCAGAGCAGGACGGACTGTGAGCAGGAAACAATGGAACCTCTGGTGGGCGCAGGGGAGGGACCAGTGCCAGATTCAGACAAGTAGGAGCCTCAGGCAGACTAATAACTTAGTACCCTCTTGATGCTAACAAAAAGGCTGAAAGTTTGAAGCTACCCAGAGGCTCCATGGCAGAAAGACCTGACAATCTTCCCCCATAAAGATTGCAGCCAAGAAAACCCCAAGATGTACTTGTACTCTGTCCATGGGGTCACTATGAATCAAAAGTTGACTCAATGGCACCTAATAATAAGTCAGTATATTTTAAATATTGTTCAGCTTTTACCTAGAGGAAAGGCTGAACTTTTCTAGGATAAGTTCAGCCTCTATTTTGAAGCACTGGCCCCCTTATATAAACAAAAGCTCTACTAGAAAACACAACCATTTTCCTTAGAATGAAATTTATTAAACCTTTATTTTCTCACCACTTCTCCCAACTCCACCAGTTAATATCATGCTTTTTTCAAGAAAGCAGTAACATACCTTATATAAAAAGCCTAAACCCATGCTCATCAAGTCAATTTTGACTGACAGCGACCCTATAGGACAGTAGAACTGCCCCATAGGGTCTCCAAGACCATAAATCTTTACAGAAGCAGACTGCCTTCTCTTTCTCCCACGGAGCATTTGGTGGGTTCAAATCACCAACCTTTGGGTTAGCAGCTGAATGTTTTAATTGCTGTATCATCAAAGCTACTTACCTGATGTAAGTCTTCATAAAAACAGCTCTACTTTTCACAGTTCTAATGATGCTTTAAAGAGCTCTGGTGATGCAGTGACTTAGGCATTTGACTGCTAACCCGAAGATTGGTAGTTTAAACCCACCAGCCACTCTGCAGAAAGAAGACAGGGCAATCTACTTCCATAAAGATTTACTGCCTCGGAAACGCAAAGCAGGTCATTTCCATGAGTCGCAGTCGACTCAATGGTAGTAAGATATAGCAGGTGGTGAGCCCTGGTGGCCCAGGGGTAAACTCTGACTGCTAACCAGAAGGCCAGCAGTTGAACCCACCAGCAGCTCTGTGGGAGAAAGATGTCTCAGTCTAATTCCATAAAGATTACAACCTTGAAAACCCTATAGGGCAGTTCTGCTCTGTCCAATAGTGTCACAACTCAATTGCAACATATGTGTTTTGTTCTGTTCTTTATATAGAAGGTTAAGTTACAGTTACCTTTTTGCATAGTAGCATAGTCTTGACATTTATTTAAACAGTAAGTACATTTTGCCATTTTCCTTGTACATTTGTTTCAGATGTCAAACATTTTTCATGACTCTTAGGTTCTTCAAAATGTGCAAGCTCCACACACTTATGCCACGGTCCTAGCAGATAAAACAGTTCTGCCCTCCTCTCAGGTCATAGAGGTGGCCTCTGTTTGCAGGTTTAGTTGTGGGATCCAATGCAAGAAGTTTGTTTTTAATGATAAATAATTGACCAAACTTTGTAAATGGTTTACCCTTTTAATAAATTGGAGGAAATTCAGATTTATACCTCTCATAGCCTCACTCTTGCTCACAAGCACTTAAAGACAGCATGTAAAATGTTTTCATAATCTGAAGCCAGTCTTCTTTACTTCTTCTCAGAGGTACTGAGATAGATTTATAATAGATTTTAAAAATAAAAATGTTCACCTATCTATTTGTTTTACTCCCATAAATATTTCAGAAATTTTTTCAGTATTTGAGTAAGCATATGGTGGTGTTGAAGCTCTGGTAGCATAGTGCCTAAGGCACTTGACTGCTAACCAGAAGTCTGGCGGTTCAAACCCACCAGCCACTCTTCGGAAGGAAGGTTGGGCAATCTACTTCCACAGTGATACTGCCTCGGAAACCCAAGGAGGGGTCAGGTCCAACTCGATGGCACATAACAACAATAACAACAACATGGTGGTGTATCGTGTATGAACATTATCTGTCATGTTCTTATGATGTGGTAGCAAAAAAATGTAGAGAACTCTAGCTCCAAGCCTTCCTTTCCCAATTTCTATATATCTTCTGCTAAATATAGGACAGAGGACTGAATGAGGAGTTTTCAGGCTTAGATAAAGTTGGATACTTTTGGATTCCCAAAAGAAAGTTTCTTCAAGAGTCCTTTTAATCTTGATTTTCTCTTTTTTCTCACTCTTTCAATAGTCTCTTTTCTCCATGTTCTCTTCCAATTCTTAGTCAATCACTTCCTCAGCCCTAATAGCTGAGCATCAGAAAGAACAGGTATCACCTGAGTAGTGGGAAGAGCTAAGATAAGAAGGGTTCCACACTTATCCCTTCTCGGCAACAGGGAACCAAGGATCCCTCCTGAGGCTTAGAGAAGAAATGGTACAGGAAGGAGAGCTGTATTAATGGAGCTGGGGATAATGTATTAATGGAGCTGGGGATAATGTATTGATTCTCTGTACTTAGAACAGCTTCCTTGGGGTCTTCTATGGTCCTCATTTTGGGACTGGGGAGTTCATAGAGATAAGCACAGAGCCTGGTACATCATAGGTACTTAGGAAACATTGAACAAATGACAAGTGGAATTGTGAATTAATGTTTCTCCAGTTGTTGTTGTTGTTGTTGTTATGTGCCGTCGAGTCAAACCTGACTCATAACGACCCCTCCTTGGGTTTCCGAGGCAGTATCACTACGGAAGTAGGATTGCCCAACCTTCCTTCCGAGGAGTGGCTGGTGGGTTTGAACCGCCAGCCGTCTGGTTAGCAGACAAGTGTCTTAGCCACTATGCTTCTCCAGTAGCTTTTTTATTTTGCCAAAAATGAGGAGGTGATTAAAACCTGAAGCATTTTCATGAATAGTCCCACTAATATCTCCTATCCTAGTTCTGTTTGGTTCTAACCACTATACCAACTGCCCTCTAATCTACCTTTCTTACAAACCTTTTTATCAACAAGTGTCTGTTCCCTAGATTCTCCTTGTGTTTAATCTGGTCCCTTTCAGCATTCCCATACCTATCTCTAGCAAGTGTCCACAACCTAGTCCTGCTGTTATCTCCCCCAATTCCTATACTCCCCCTGTGTCCTATCATGCTACAATCCCTTTCTCAACCTTTGGTTCATTGATCCCTTGTTCTCCCATTTCCTTTCTCCCAGCCCCTAGTCTCTATCCTTACAGCTACTCCTAAATGTACAAACACACACACATACCTGCCAATCTCAATGACCTTCAAAGCTTTTAAACTCACCTACTATAGCATAATATCAGCCGAAGGATTTAAAAAGTGGTAGAGAAGAGCTATAAACAGCTTATTCTGAGAGAAGAAGTAGGCTGAAGACTGATCATGTTGGCATGAAGGATGTCAGTGTTTCCACTCTGTACAGGACCTTTATATCTGGACACTGAAAAGCCACATGCTCCTTCTTCTGGAGGTAGGTGTCAGAGTCACTCTTGGGATCATTTAACATGAGGTCAATGAGCCAAGGGAAAAATGAAAACCCTTCCCTAGTATCAAGAGGGAGCACTAACTAGACAAGAAGTGGCTCCACATAAAACACACATAGATTATTTAAAGACACAGAATGAGGTCAGAAAGGACACAGAAATCCCAGCAGAACAATAATAAAAGTAATACAACAGCCATCATTTCCAAGCCCTCTAAGTTTCATAGGAACCCTGGTGGAAGGCATAATGGCTAAGCACTCAGCTGCTAAACAAAAGGTCAGCAGTTCAAACCTACCAGCAGCTCCACAAAAGAAAAGATCTGG